TTGCTTTCAGTCCGAAAAAAGTTTTTTTTCTTTTTTTTTTACTTACTAAAAAAGATTGTGTAAAAGCCCAGAAGTAACAATTTATTCATTATTTAATCAAATAAAATGTATTTATAGAAATTGAATAACATAATAAAATCTTGTGCCAGTAATACAATGACCGTTTTGGCTAAGAAAGTTACATTCTTAAATCTAATTTTACCTTCAGGAGCTTTAATGGCCAATTCATTGTAGTAACTGTTTTCTTTTTCCTTGTAGGTTCTTGCCAGGAGAATTAGCCAAACATTTCCAGACATCTCCAATGAAGTTAATAATGACACAAACCTGCCAGAGAATGTACAAACAATGATGGCCGAGAGCAAGTTCGCAAGAGAGGTGACGGCATGAAGCAGAAACGCACAATAATCATCATCTGTGATTTTCACTATTCCAAACAGTTTCATTTACTTTTCTTGTTGAATCTCTGTCAAATATCATTACATCATCCCTGTAACATCTGAATGAAACCCACTGAGGGTCAAAGGTCAAATTGGCCACTTTGTTTTTTGTTTGTTTTTGCATCAGTGCAGCTGTGTCCTCTGTCTGAAGTGGACATCTGTATTTATCTATTTAAATTATGATTAAGTTTAGTTATTTCTCAGCGCTCCAATAGACATTTCTACCTAGTTTTGTAACATTTTGTAATAAAAAGTCTTAATCAAAAACGGTGCAGTGTGTGCTCACTGAGAGGATTACTGAACAATGTTTGCAAATACACTCTCCTGTATACGCGGCTGATATTAGATCCAACATTAATCTAACACAACAGAGGAGGTCTCCTGTTGGTCTCTCATGTATACAGTACTTTATTCAGTGTGGAGGAAGTATTCAGGTGCTTGACTTTAGTAAAAGTATGTATACAACAATGTGATGGTACTTTATTACAAGTAACAGCCCAGTAATTCAAGTTTTACTCAAGTAAATAAGTAAATATAGTCAAAATGTAGTTTAACTATCAGAAATACTTTTCCAAGTGCTTAAAAACTGAATTTGTTAAATTAAGGGATTATCTTTTGGTGTTTTCTGTTGTAATAAGCAGTGGTGGGAAGTTAGTACATTTACTCAAGTACTGTACTAAAACACAATTTTGAATTACTTGTACTTTACTTAAAGGTGGGGTAGGTAATTCACTTCAGAAACACTTTTTGTTATATTCCATGGAATGCTCTTAACATCCCGATGGCAATGAATACATTAAATGCTTTGACAATAAATATATATTACAAATATTTCATCTGTGGAAGCCGTGGCGCTGTAAAAAGCACGACCAATTATCTGCCTTATAACTTATCTCGTGCCCTCATTGGTCATGTGCGTGTTCGTGTGTGTTGGAGGAGGGGCTCTGTAAGGAAGTCTGAAGGAAGGGGCAGATTCTTTTCGGTTGTGTACTTTCAAATTCTAGGGCACGCGAGCTGGTTTCTCCATTCTTACCTACCCTACCTTTAAGTATTTACAAAAAACATTGTGAAATCACTAAGAGGCCAACATCTGGTCAGCTCATTTTCAGACAGGTTTTAAAATAAATGGATCAGGACAAAAAGAGAGAATCTTTTTTCATGAAACTTTCAGAGTCTCTTTACACCAAGGCCCCCCATTTATGTATACAATACATTAAACAGTGGATTTTTCATAATAGGTGACCTTTAAAGATAAAATAGCAGAAAATGAAAGTACTCAAGTACCTCTAAAATGTACTTAAGTACAGTGAGAGTACACTGACTATACTCTAAATCTGAGGAAGGTAAAGCATTTCAGTGCACCACTTAAGAAAAAAAGAATTGATTTGATTGATTCTTTTGCAAGGCATTCACGTTTACCCAGAATAAGTGAACGCAAGAACACTTTATAATGAATATTAACCAGATATTATAATGGGCGTCTATACCATGTGTGCATAATAACACACACATACATACAGTAAGGGACCACACACACACACAAGCCTCTGCAGGATGTCAGCTGTTTCTCATATCCATCTAAAGCAACAACCAATGACACTTTTAATAGCTTTGGTGAAAATCAGAGAAAACTTGAAATTCCTTTTTTTGTTTTTTCACCCAAACTCAGCATGAAAAGTGCTTTATTAAGGTTCAGAACACTTTGAATATATGTTATCTTACAGTATCTGTGTTCGTAAACAACTGCCCAACATTTCAACCAGCAGAGAAACTCACAAGTTCAAGCTTATGACACAAAGCTTAGAAATCACACAATCTGTATTACAAAATAACAAAGAAATGAACATGAAATAAATGGATAAAACACTCTGTTAGCTAATGTTTATGGTATAGTTCATATTTTGGAAGAAATCCATTTTGGTAGAGTACTTTATAACATTCAAACCACTTGCTGCAACGGTAAAAACAGCAGATAAAAGTCAATAAATATGTTTAAACTAAGAAAACAAATCAATTAGTATTAATAGGGGGGATATATACTATACTGGCTTGAAATGAAATGAAACCCTGGTCATGTGTACTTAAAGCCGAGCACAGCAGGTATGTTGCTATGTACAGGCTTAGTAACAAAGGTTGATACATTTAGACTGCACACAATCTTACTGCAGAGATTATCTTGTGAATGGATTTAACATTAAATGGTCAAATAATATCAAATACATGTCATTAGATGTGACGCCCACTGCAGAGGATTAGGGCCATGTGATCTCTTTGGAGATCTGACCAAAAGTGAATTTCTTCTGAGAAAAAGTGTCAGAATTCTGAGATAAAGCCAGGATTCCGATAAGCTAAAAAAAGTCAGAATTCTGTGATAAAGCCAGAAATCCGACAAGCTAAAAAAGGTCAGAATTCTTCATTTTCTTTCTCAGAATTTTGAGATTTAAAATTATTTTTATATATTTTGAGTTCTGAGAAAAAAAAGACTGAGAACTTGTCAGATCTCAAGAAATGTTTCACATGCGGCCATAATCCTCCCATGTTGATACTTAGAAAATAGGTAAAACATTAAAATGCAGTTAGCAATTATCCTGAATGCTGAAATACATTCTCAGATGGGGTTTGATGGCCAAATGATTCAGGAAACTGTGGAAAGGCAGTGAGCAAAGTCAAATGTAAGACCTGGATGTAAACTAAAACAGTTTAGTCGGTTCTATGCGGTAGCGGTCATTGTCATTACATAATATAAAACATAATTTGAGCATACATACATTGAGCCCAACAATCCACAAGGTGCAACAAGAAAAATCAAACTTAAGGCCAACATTTCAACAGCTTTTAAAATAATCTACTATTTTTCTACGAGGTTAAGTAACAACTGAATCGGAACATCACACCTAAACCAAGGTTATCACTTTCATATGAATGAAATCAAAACAAATATGGGGACAAACCTTAAAAGGAATACTTTACCTACAAAATGACCATTTCCATTAAAAGGACCCCGTGTAACCTTTAATTATAGAAGAAAACACAGATTGGACTCGCAGAGAGCGCATGTGAGAAACTGTATTTCAATTGTAAGCTTTAAATAAAGAAGCACGTGTTTGGGAAGTATTGAAAATAAAAATGGATTTTGTTTAGCGTGTATGAAGGTGAGAAAACCCAACGTTTTCTTTAAGAATTTGAAGTAACACGGAGTGAGTAATTCGTCATTTTGTGGCTAAAGTTGAATCCCTTCTGTGATGTAGAACTACGTATGCCAGGTTTATTAGTAATTAGTGAATCTTCAAGTTAATCAGAACAAATAAAATCAGACAAAGTAAAAAAAGAAGCTTGAGATCTAAAATCATTTCACCATTCTACACAAGTCTTACCCTTTCCCTACAACAAGAGCTACCTTGTGTCATTGGAAATCATATCATTGGTAAAGTGAAATCAGTCCGGAGGACCAATTATTCAGTCATTTTGAGATAATAATGGTTTAACTTTGGAAACGTTCCAATAACACTTGTCATGGCACAGCCGGCAGCTTGCACTTTGGAGCAGCAATGCTATAAATCGTTGGACATTGCACAATTTGAAATCCCCTTTTTGACACATCTTAAAATAGGTTCACTTGTGAGTTCCTTTCCGAGGAGCAAAAGTCACTTCTAAAAAAAATGTAAAAATAGAAAAAAAGACAAAGCAACATTATCCCATTTAGAAATAAATAAAAATAGCAAAAATACAGCGAGACAAAAAACACTTGTTGCTCGACGCTGCACCTGGTTATTTCTAATCTTTTGGAGAGCAAATGCACAATGATACACCCACAATGCACTACATTGAAACTGATCAGTCCACTAGAGTCCAGTAACTCAGTACAGATGGGTGCTATTGTTACACTCTATCTTGAATTCCCAGCTTTCTGACATCATGAAGTATGTCATGGACTTTATTGGTCAGTGAATGTAACAGCCAATGTGGATTATAGAGCGGAATTCATAGCCACAGAACTTAAGAAGTTTGCAGCCGCCCGGCGTTGACCTCTGACCTGGGCACACTCCACCAGGGCAGGAGACCCCGCTCCTTATGTCTTTAGGCAAGAGACTGGAATGCAGATAACGGGGGGGGACACACACACTAAAAGGAGATGAAGTCCTTTTGAATTAGTGTGTGAAAGAGGCTAACTAAAATAAATGCAATGTGAGAAGAAGTGGGTTTCACTGAAGATAAAAAAGCCAAGGATTATCTGCTGAACAGAAGGCAAGTGGAGAAAAAAGGCCAACAAATAAAAAAGTACAAAATGGTGATAAAAGTAAGATGTTAAAATAATTAAAGCCAGAGAGAAAGCACGGATGGAGGTGGACAGAGCCATCCAAAAGGCATGCACGAAGAACAACATACATCTGTACTGTCGCCCAGCCGTCCGTCACTCCACTCGCGGCGCAGCGCGGCTACTGATTCGCTGAGGGTCGGGACCCACTGTGCTGAGTTCAGGCCGTCCACCAGACAAGAGGAGATTTCACAACTGTGTCATCTCCTGGCCAGGTGAAGGGACGACCTGGGGGGGAGAGGGGGGAAAGTCTGGGGGGGGTGGGGTGGGGGGTGGGCTTTAGAGGGGACAGAGGAGGAGGGGAGTGTGGTAAATGTTCAGTGCTTGCACGGCCCGTTGCTATGGAGTACGGCGTTAGAGATGCTGTGGAAGGAGGAGTTCATCAGGTCGAAGGAATTGTCGATGAGGGAGGGGATGTCGTCTGACGTCAGCCCCTTCGTCTCGATCTTTGGGAGGATCTTGATTCTGATGGTGCCTGCAGGAGAGAACACTGTCAGGAGTCACATCAAGGAGCCGAGAGGGCATCTCAACTGATGATATCATCACAGTAGGATAAGCCTTGTTTCAGGACTTGTTTTCTACTATCAGTGTGTGTCTTGATAAAGAATGCTAAAGGTCCATATGTCCAGTGCCACCTTTTGGCTGAAAGAGAGTATAAAAGCTGTCTCAGTCTTCAGACAAAGGCTCCTGATTCACGTATCCTGTCTCTTATACTGTTGTAAAACAATAATCTATAACTTCAATCACCAGCAGTTCTGTGTTTCTATTGTTCTGTATTCCAATGTCCAGAGTGTTGGTTAGCAGATCCACGACAGGACTGCTGACACACTGCATGTTGCATGGTATACAGAGAGAAAAGGTATCCAATACCCTGTTGTTAAATACAGTACTACTGTATACCACATTTTATTACAATGAGTACTTTAAGAACGGTGTATTCATGAGATGAAACATGTGGGCATGTTTGTACTCCTATATGCATGCTGCATCTTTCATAGTGACTAAACAGGAGACTTGGCTGCGTCGTTGGGTTTTGTAGGATTTCTATTTGGGAATATTGGGAATGAGAGGGGAGCTGGAGACGCCATTGCAAAGATACAAAGCTGGTTAAACATCGGCAAAGTATTCCTTTTAGAGTTCCACCAGTCTTAGTTGGATATTTAAGCAATAGCTCACGACAGGCTGTGGTATATGGTCACTATACGCTTCGCGTCGGGCCGAACCACGCCTCTTAGCTGTGATATAATGACCATATACCACGGCCTGTCGTGAGCTATTGCTTTTATAAAACGGTTACAAAGTATGGCAATATGAAAGAAAAATACACACTCTAATTTAAATGTGAAAAGTAACTACAATTCTACCCGTGATATACGCTCATATCACGGGTAAGAACCAATCAGATTGCTTGATTTGACTTATCCGTTTTTATAATTAACTGTATAAACGCAGTATGATACAATAACTTTTTTCACATCCTTATTGACAAAATAATTTCAAATTCAATGTCTTGTCATCTATTATTCCAATACTTTAACAGATGTTTTAGGTTTTGCCGTGGTATCCTTTCAGTATCGATGTTGAGGTATTCATGAATTGAAATCATTATTTTGGTATTGTGACCAGACTTCTTTCAACAGAAAAATGATGTTAAAATAAAGATTACCCGAATTGAACTGCTTTTGTTTCCGTAGGTAGAAACCGCTGTAGGAGGAGAAAACAATGGGTATGATGGGTACCTGAAAAACAAGAGAAGAAAAGGGATTAAACAGACTATACAAATATTATCATCACCTTTTTTGTAGTTATGTTAAATATCTAAAGTAATGTGACTCCTAATCTTTCCCTTCTCCTGAGCCTTCAGCCACAGGAGGAGAATCAAACAGACAGAAGTGCATGACTGCAGCTCCATCACGTTCTCTCTCTCTCTCTCTCTCTCTCTCTCAGCACGAAACTAGCAGTCTCCGTCTCCTCCACTAATAGAGGCCGAGTTGCTCTCCCGAGGCCCCGAGTGGCCCCTTCCCCGGGACTGGCAGAGCCGAACGTGGCTCCCCCCTGGGGGCTGTCCTGCTTCCACTCAATCTGGCCGGCTGGGTACAAATGGAAAAGGCTGCGCGGTAACTCGGCAGAAGCAAACACGCAGAGATAGAAATAGTCTCAGAGCCAACAGGGAGAAACCAAAACACACTCGGTGCGTTCTCCAGACCTCAAATGAAGTTATTCCGCTACCTCTCTCCAACACAAACACACAACAGATCCAGCTCGAGTATCGAACATGGAAAAACTATTTTTAGGCGGAATAGTTTGAGGATTCATTCATAGTGCAGCTTCTTTTTTTTGCATGTCTATTCCATCTGTTTATAGTCAGTATTTCTGCAAAGTTGCAACATTTCCAATAACCCCAGATCGTTATGAAGTCAAAATATCTTAATAATAGATTATGTTATCCTTTCCAAAATTCACAACATGTTTTTTATAATTGAAATATTCTGCTTGAATCCTATTTGTTGGCATTATGGAACTTTATTAACGGGGCAGCAATATATATAACTCCTGTGGGGATTGTCCACAGTATTGAGTATGTAAGTCGCTTTGGATAAAAGCGTCTAACAAGTAACATGTAATGTAATGTAATGTAATAACACCAGCATAACAAACATAAATAAATAAATACCAAACTAACTAATTTAATCTAATAAATCACATTATTCACATAAAGAACTTTATTTAAGGACATTTACATTATTTGTATACTGTTAATGACATACTGTTATACTACTGATAATACGGCTCATACCGTGTAAACTTTTGCTTTTTTGATATTTGTCATATGTATTTGCTTGTATTATACTATACATTTTACTGTACTTAACTTCTGGTTAGATGCTACCTACATTTCGTTGTCTCGGTAGTTGTAGTCTGTGCAAATAATGTAAATCTAATCTGATCATATGACGACAGACATTTGAAGCTCCATGTGTAAACCTGGATTAAGGCTCTGAATGTAAAGAACAGACATTTGGTCCAGCCTTCACTGTTTGTGTAACATAAGCACATGTGAGCCGCGCGGCAGAGCCAATAGAGGCCCTACAGACATTGTTAATGGGTTTGCTAATAAGGAGCAGCAGGGCTTTGTTTTTCTAGCCTCTCAGCCTCACTGCATGCACATCTGAATCAAACCGATATTAATCTTTAGCAGCAAGTAACAAGAAGAAATTGGCTCACACAACACACCACAAGGTTTACGCCTGAGTCGCGGTTCCTGGCCAGATCTCATTCAACAATGTTTTTTTAATTCTTTCCACCTGTCGGACCTGCAGAGTGAGCGCTACGAAACGTGGACTCAAGGACAGAGACCTCCCACCTGCATGCAGGAAGAGAGCAGCTCATAAAAACACCCTGCCAGTCACTCTGCAGTCATTATATGCCGTCTTTTCTAACTTCAATCATTAGGTGAGAGGAGTCGGGGGGCAGATTACGTCACTGCACAGCCGAGAAATCAATTCACAGAAGACAGAAAAAGTAAGAAAGGGCTCAGACAGACAAAACAAGTCTGACCATTTCAAAGCATTCCTTGTTTCATTCGATATTGGATATGGTAGGGCTGTGCGATTATGGCAAAAATCATAATCACGATTATTTTGGTCAATAATTGATATCACGATTATTAAATACGATTATTCATTGACTTTGAAAACGTCAATTTATTGAACTTTAAAACAAATTAAAATAATAATTTGAACAGTATCTGTTTAACTGTTGATTACCCTGAACGTATAATTCAACTGAAAAACCAATACATAAAATAAATGATACATTTATATTTACATTTACATAAATAATATCAAAATAATAAATACCAATAAAAAAGATCAACAAATATTTTGGAGCGCACTTCAACAAGCTACTAAACATATATAAATATGATAAATAAATTAGACTATAAAATAAATTAGATCAAATATGTCACAACCTAGCAAAGCAAAATAATCGTTTTTTTTCGATTATGTTGTTTTTGTAATTGTGGCAGGCCAAAATCGTAATTGCGATTAAAAAACGATTAATTGCACAGCCCTAGGATATGGTTAAATCAAAATGTGCCTTGTGCCACATAAGGTTGCTAGCTCCCCCATGTGTCTAGAATCAGCACATTGCTCCTTCTTTTAGGAAACAAAACTTGGCAGAAGTGCCCTTGAACACAGCCAGCGTTATTACAGGCGCTTTTTGCCAGCAGGGTTAAGTAAACGAACAGGAAGTCATGACACAGGAAATGGGTACGATAGCAGACACTTTTTTTGTCACTCAGGGGGAGGATTCACAAAAGTGGATTGCGGTTGCTGATGGCATAATGATTGTCGTTCATTTGAGCAACTGTTATCTGCTCAAGGTCGGATGCTAAAATATATGACTACTGATAGTAAGTTTTGCAGCTGAGTGCAATTTTCCTTTTTTTGCATTTGATTTTAATTATATATGTGGCAAAGTATAGGCTTAAATGTTGCATTTGCACCAAGAACACAGTAGGCAAAACAATTGCAGAGGAGAAAACGAAATATACAATTTTCAGAAAGCAAGCTACGAGGAGAGATGCAGAGACATTCCTCAAGACATCAGGAAATAGTGTCAACATCACAGATGAAAAACCTATTTTTTTTTGTCAGTGTCAATTACTGTAAGGTAATAATCCTTTTTATTTAAGTATCATTTTTCAAGCAAGAGAGTTTTCCTGGGCAAGGAAATTCAAAACTAAATTGCAAGAGGACCATCACTTGAATTAAAAGAATATTTGCATGAGTCAAAGCAGAAGAAAGTCTGGGCCTAACCCTTCTTATGCCTCAGGAACCACCAACTCTCTGAAGATAGAAGCCATGCAGTCCCTTTGTGAATGTGGCCCTGAGTAAACATACACAACAGCATTTCAGGAGATAAGAGGAAAAGGGCTCACTTGTGCCTGCACTGCCAGATGGAAAGCTCCTTTTTTGAAGGGCAGCAGGTTGCCCGTCTGGTTTCGCGTTCCCTCTGGAAACACCCACAGACGAATCTGTAGAGGGAAAAGCACAAAAGTGTCAATTCAAATCATAACAATGACACATTATTTGCAGAAGGAAAATCTAAGAAAACGACACATAAATAACGGTCAAATTAATTTGACATAAAAGCATCTCCTTTTTTTCTTTGGGATGTAAAGGCTTACTTTAACTCAGATAAACAGATCTCCCTTTAACACTGATTTCAGGGTGTTCTGGTGTGACATCATCCACATTACCTTGTCGTCCAACATGGTTTTGGAAGCGTCAATCATCACACTCTTGGCGTCGTTCGGCTTCTTGCGGTTGATGAAGACGATGCCTCCCAGCCAGCAGATGAGACCCACGGTGCCGGCGTAGATCAACTCCTTCTTGGCGATCATGGTGCAGCGGTCCGGCAAGATCTCCATCAGACCTGAGGAACAGAGGATAGCAGAGGAAACAGTCAGAGGAAATGCATGTATAAAGGGCTTTATTTAACCAAAAATAACTAATGTCAAGTACTTCATAACTTTAGTTAATTATCTCCAGGTAAAGTCATATCTGAAAAACTGCATCCTAAATGAATGAGTAAGCTATATAGCATAGGAGTTCGAAATAGGAGCAAAGGCAAATCATTTAGGTGTTTAAGCAACATATTTACAACGAGAGGCACGCACGTACTTTAAAAAGGTGGTCTAATAAAAATCTAACGCCACCATAAATGACATTCATTTAGCGACAATTAAAGTATTTGTATAAGATGATGTAAATTAGTCATATTTCAAAGGTTGAAGACATCATAAAATATGATGAAGATTTGAAAATACATTTGAAAACCTCAATAGAAGCTACTAAAGAAAAAATGACTGTGTAAAGCCCTAACCATTTGTATAAATGCTTAAAAATGTAAAAAAATGACTAGATTTAATTAAAGGTCCCATGTTATGGCCATTTCTACTGATCATAATTCCATCGTTGAGGTATACTAGAATAGATTTACATTGTGCAATGTTCCAAACTCACATTGATTTCTCATACAGCATCTCTGTATAGTATGTGTATTCACCATAGACTGTATATATAAAGGTATTCACTCTCTGCCCTAAACGGCTTGTTGGAGCTCCTGCCCCCCCCCTCCCTATGAGCCCACTGTGCTCTGATTGGTCAGCTCGCCCACTCTGTTCTGATGAGTCTACCACCGTTACAGCGGAACATCAGTGATTATGTGTTACAATGGCGTTTTTAGCAACCAGAAAACGACACCAGTAATGACAAACAGATGAGAATGCTGCGTGGGGTCTGGGTGCCGTGTTGGTGGGACGTTGCGGGGCTCGCTGGTCCGCCCTGTGGGGCTCGAGGAGCGGACAGTGTGAGGTGGATTACTGGGTTGCGGTCGAATAGTCCAAAAATCAGCTCCTATCGTCTATCCCTATCGTCTATTCCTTGACCTCCGAGTGAAACGTCACGGGGTTAAGGAATAGTGGATAGGAGAATTCAAAAGGACTTCGGAGAAGAGACTGCGGTGCTTTGAGAATCCGACTGCACTTTCACTATCCGACGTATTTATGATGCGCCAGCGGACGTCATGAATGTGTGTCTGCTGCTGTGGGGAAACTATGGAAACTACAGTTTTCTATACAGCGGACTACAACAGGGATGTTTAATAAGAACGAGGGACTACTGTAAACTCATCTAGAGACTCTGCACCGTGCTCTGATGCTGTTGCTTTATGCTTTATGAACGGGGACAACAGAGAAACATATTCTTCATGACCAAAGTTGGAATTGAAATAAAAAAGGAAAGTGAAACTTATGCTCGTCACCCTCTCCCTCCGGTCCACATTAATACAAATGATCCCAATACGTATGACTGTATGAAAAGATCTTAAAATGAATACAAATGTATTTATTGTATTTTATCTCAACATCAGCAAAACAAAGGAGCTGATTGTGGATTACAGGAAGCAGCAGGGAGAGGGACACGCCCCCATCGCCATCAATGGGACTACGGTGGAGAGTCAAAAGCTTCAGGTTCCTTGGGGTCCACATCACTGAGGATCTGACATGGTCTCTTCACACCACCACCATCACCAAGAAAGCTCGACAGCGGCTCTTCTTCCTCCGCAGGTTGAGGAGGTTCAAAATGGACTCCAGGATACTCTGCAACTTCTACAGGTGCACGATAGAGAGTATCCTCACTGGCAGCATGACGGCCTGGTACGGCAGCTGCACCGACCTCGATCGTAAGGCTTTACAGAGGGTGGTGAAAACTGCACAGCACATCACCAGGACGGAGCTGCCATCCATGGAGGACCTTTACTCCCAGCGGCTCAGGAAGAAATCACTACGGATTATCAAAGACCCCCATCACCCCAGCCACAAACTGTTCTTTCTGTTGCCGTCTGGCAGACGTTACCGCAGCATCCGGGCAAGGACAAGAAGATTCGGAGACAGTTTCTTCCCGCGGGCAGTGAGACTGTTAAAAAATTGAACTGTTGAAACAACTTCAAACATTCATCTGCTACTCAGTAGTATGTATCTAATACCTAATATATATATATATCATTCCAATAACTTGTATATAGACTCGTACTGCACTATTCCACATCATAACTTTATTTCATTTTTATAACTATTATTATTTTTGTATTGCTCTTGCTCTTATTGTTATTATGTTATTATGTTGCATTGTTGGAGAAGCCTGTGACATAAGATTTTCAACTGCATAATTACTCTGTAGCTATGTCAGATTGACAATAAAGAACCTTGATTATATAAACGTTAGTCCTTAACATCTATCACTGTGTATATCACCATTCAAACATCTTTTCAAAGTTGAACAAACCCCACACAGCTCAGTAAAGACTGTGAAATGTTGACTTTATTTGATAATTTCAGTAAAAACTAACGTTCATATTTCTCTTTGTGATTATAATACTGATGATTGTTCAAAACAAAGCACTTTTGGCAACTTACCACATACGTTTTAAAATGCTTAATAAGTCATCGTAATTTTCATGATATCATTTCTCGTTCATAATCGGTTGTTTCCGTGAGCGGTCGACTGTTGTGTGACGGCAAATGCTGCGGCCGCAAGGCATTGTGGGGCAGCATTTTCTCCTTTCCTTTCGTAAAGGGAGGTCCAGTGGTTCCTAAGCTAAAGGAGGTTATAAAGGAAGTTTGAAACCTCCTTTCCTTTCATCAAGAGAATTAGAACGGCTCTTATCATGGCTGCCACTGAGGTACTTCTGCGGCATTTCACTCCGTTAGGAAGGTTCCTAAGCTAAATGGACTATTCGACCGCAACCCTGGTGTCATTTCCTGGTTGCTGCGTGGGGTCTGCCTGCCATGCCAGCGGGGCTCAGCCTGAGCTGAGATAAGAATAATGAAAGATATCACACACAATATTAGAGACAATCAAAGGATGGTACACAGCAAGTAGATGAGTTGAAGCTTGAGGGGAGAAGACAGAGCAGACAGAACCAAAATTAACTCAGAAAGGGAGCTTGAATCGGAGCTGCAGAGGTGAGGGATCTCAGGTCCTCGCGGTGTTATCACATTGCTGGAGGAGAATCAGCTAATACTGGCTGGGTGTAGCTGCTCCCATGGCAACCAAGACGCCAAGCAGACTCCTGTAGAGTCTGCTCAGCACTAATTAAATGCCTTGTTCTCCCCTGCTGTCACCTCCTTGGCCTCCAGCCTTCCCTCCTCACTCAGCGGCACAGAAACACTCTCCCAGGTACTGGTGGAGGGAAACCATTCCTCTGCTCAGCACAGCCAGAGTCCTCGCAGATTCAGGATAAAGAGGAATGAGGCAGTGCTCATTGAGTCATAGACAAATAATGAGACTAACCCCGAAGATCAGCTGTGAATGTCTGTTGTCATTTTTTCATAACGTCATCACCATAAAAAAGTGGGCCGGATAGTTGGTTGTTATATTTATGTAATTCATGGTGCTGTTTAATTGCTGCTAGAATGCCCCAGTAATTAAGCTGCATGAATCCCTTTATGTGCGGAGAATAGGAGAATAGGAAAGGCTAAATGACAACAAATATATCATTTTTAAGATAAAGAATTATTAGGAATTTTGTATACATCTGTCTTTATTTTGACTTGACAAAAATATGTAGTTGTTGGAAATCTGGAATCTGTATACAACTTGTATTATAGGTGTAGCCTAAGCTTATCTTTCTCTATGCAGAGATACCAGGTTTACACAGAATAAATAGATGAATGTGTGTGTTTGTAAAGGTGTTGTAATTCCTGTGGTTGCACGGCACTCGGCTGAATTCATTCTCCTTTTTGTCTAACACCCTTTGTCAGCACAAAGCTGGTATCATTTTACATTTGTCCCAGTTTCTGCAGGACTGTTGTTAACCTACTCTGCAGCCTGCCTGAGCACCAACATCAGGACATGTGGAGTTTGGATGGGGCTTTATTATTCTATTCAAAAAGGGTATGCACCAGATTGTTTATGGTATTTAGTCGATGAGGCATGGAAGCACTGATGATGTCTACAGTAGTCTTTATTTGGTTGCCGAATGAGATTGTGACTAACGGCAAATGTAAACAGGATCTGTCCACGCAGCTGTCAGAGACAATCCGGCTCTCTGCGATCACAAACACTGTGATGAATTCATTTGTGAAAGGTTACATCAGATCTGTGTGAAGCTATGAAGAGGATATTTAGTTTGTGTCTTCGACAAAGAGTAGGCTTCACTTGGCGATAAAGACAAATGCTTCAGGTTCCACATTATTTATGGTTCCATCGCCCTTTTTCAAATGTTGCTTTTATTTTACACCAACTTCATAACCTCAACCAAGCCTAATAATGCAATATTTGAAGTTATTTTTTGCAGTTTTTTTTTTGCAGAAATGGAATCTGTGCACAGAAATAGCTGGATGAGAATGCACGTATACACGCTTGAGATGATGAGGGGTTTGTGCTTGAGCCCATTCACCCTACAGTGAAACACATTCAGGTCATCAGCCAGTTGTTCATTGTCTGCAGTGTGAGGGGATGGCTTCCTGTGTGACTCGGCAGTGAGCTCATCCAGGTCAGCAGTGCACTCAAAGCAGGCAGTATTTCATGATGGAAGATTCCTAATAGTAAATCTGATTTTTTTTTTTAAGAAGCGGAGGATGTGAGACCAAATTAAGAAAAACTCAAATGAGTGCAGAGGAAAAGCTGCCATCTGCACAACCATCTTGCGTCATGATGAACCAACACAAACATTTCAGTCAGCATTTACAAATAGATGAGACTGGATGCATTTCTAAAACTTTCAGCACCGTTTCCTTCTAAAAAAGAACTATGACTGTTCTGAAATTGTACAGGAAAACAATTAATATGACAAGTTCCAATGTTGAAAGCTATCTTAATTTATGTTTGGAAAGTGTTTCAGTTTCAAGGTTCGCTTATACTGGTTTGACAATGTAGGAATCATAGTTCTTTTTATACCATCTTAACTGTTTGCAGCAAGAAAACTATAAGGAATAACTTAAAGTGGACCTATCATGCTATATTTGAATAATATAGTGTAGGACCATACCTATATAATGCATATTTATACTTTTTCTTTTCAAAATACCAAACGGATCATGCATTTTAGCCATGTCTCATTTCGCTCAATTTGAAAAATGTTAGCTCTGTTTTTGCAAGGGCAGATTCAGTGAGAACAGCACCATCTACAGGCCTGGCATATGTACTACAGCGTCTCCAGCGCTTTCGAACGGCAATGCCGTGGTTGTCTCCTCCTGATTGGTGGAGTTGGCCCAATAGCCGTAGCGCCACCGTCCTGACGTCAGGACAGTGTTCAAATCTGGATCAGTTTTTATCAGATCCGTTGCAGCCCCTTTTTTAGAGATTTGGGTATGGAGGAAAATAGAGAGGGTTGTGCTTTCTGACACTTGGTGAGTTCCCTGGAACACCGGGGACACATATTCATGTATAAAAGACGTACAAAAGTGCATTTTGCATGATAGGTCCCCTTAAAAGTCAGCAATTAGCATCCGTTTTTGTTTTAATTCATATCTGAAAATCTATGGATTGGATGCTTTGCAAGTTTTCTGCAAGGTGTAGAGCAACAGAAACTGTTGTTTTGAGAATGAAATACATATCCATCTTCATACATAAATGAAGCACAGCACCCACCCAAAACATCCAGGGAGCTCTGGTGGTTGGAGATGATGACGTAGGGACCCTCGGTCTGCAGATGTTCCCAGCCGCTCACATCAAACCGGAGACCCAGGAAATACTTGACATGACGAACCAAGGAGCGGATAAGCCTGGGGGGGGGGAAAGAGGTCATTACAGTCCAGAATAAGTATAGGTTACTGTTCACAGTCATGCATGTGCAGCAGGCTACATATTATTAACCCAGGACCAATGTTTGGGGAAACAGTAGGCTGTAGAAAGCCTGTTAAATAATAAGGTATTAAGAGAAAAAAAAAAATCCCACTTCAAATGTTTAAATATTGACCTAAATCCGACAATCAGGATTAAAAATACAGGATATCTGCTTAATTAACTATGTGCCACATCCCCATCAGCTTTGTTTGTTTCTTGGTTGGTTAAATCATCGCCTGCAGTAAGAACAACGCTCCAATAAGCTTTAAAGAAAATATCCTCCCATCTGCCCCTGAAATAAAACAAAACACACAATTAAAGTTACTCTAGGGATGTTTCTGATTTGATCAATTCTTTCATTTGTCTGGAACCAAGAATGTTTTTATAGCAGTGGCGTTTTTGCTAGAAGAAAAAAAATCAATTTTGTATATATATTGTCTAATGTCTATATAGTCTATATTGTGAATAAATCAACTAATCAATGTCTATTTGTAACTCCTACCAACATAATGAAACATATTGAAGCTGCATTTAGCCATTATTTGACTGGACTTCTCTCTGTGATTTGGTACAATGAGTGACACTTACACATCACAGACAGGCATTTGATCTAATGTAAATATCAAGATACATTATGAAGCTTTAAGAACAGTGTGCAGGTTAACTATTCCTTAGCCCAATGACATTGGAAACACAGATTTTCACACTGAATTTTCCTGTTTTTACACTCTCCGGTCAGGGCTTATCTTCAGGAACAAACCACACTTGAACTGTGTAGTGACAAAGAAGATAACAACTCTGAAATCTGTAAAGACATACGCAAGGCCTCTGCTCCCACTTGGAAAAAAGGTCAATGCCTTTCGAAAAACAACAATGTTCAATGTGAGATAGGGCTGCTCGATTATGGCAAAAATCATAATCTCGATTATTTGGGTCAATAATTGATATCACGATTATTAAAAACGATTATCCATTTACTTTGAAAACATCCATTTATTGAACAAAATTGAACAGTATGTTTTTAACAGTTGATTACCCTGAACTTTAAGTATAATTCAACTGAAAAACCAATACAAATAATAAAAAAATAAATAATAATAATAATAATAATTAAAAAAGAAAAATCGTTTTATTTAGATTACGTTGTTTTCGTAATCGTTGCAAGCCAACATCGTAATTGCGATTAAAATATGATTAATTGAGCAGCCCTAATGTGAGACCTGTGTTGCAACCAGAGGTGTTCAAGCTTTTACTTCTAACAACTGATATGAATTCTCAGCAAGCACTCGCATCCATTACATCTTCAGACAAAAACAAAAGGGCAGTTATTTTCAAATGAATCTAAAATCTCTTGATGTGTTATGATGAAAGGAAAGCCTTGGCCTTTTATGTCCAGGCCAACTCCACATTACCAGTCATTGAGCACTCTATTTCTTAGCCTTTATTTGAAAATCACCCTCTTGTCACCAAGGTAGCAGTGTAATCAAATTGTACATAACTGCTGTAAAATTACTGTTACACTTAGTGTTTTATCTTAAAGGTCTCCTATTATGCAATTTTTAGGCATATATGGGTCTCGGATATACACAAATATATAAAAAACATGGCTATCGTGTTTTGCTCAAAATACCAACAGATCCTGCATTTGAGACATTCCTCATATCCCTCTATTTCAGCCCTGTTAGAGAACTGCAGGTTCGGGGTCCTTAGCTTGAAAAGGAGAGGAGGGGGAGCTTGTGCCTGCTCAGAATTCTACGAGACACAGCTAAATGCTGCCGTGATGAAATCCCATATCATGTTCCAAACCACATCAAGAATCATTTCTGAAACAGTATGGAGCTCAAATGCTTTTTCTCTTGCAGGTTTACCACAAGGTGAGTTCCTTTTTTTATTTCCTGCTTTTTTTACACATACTCTCTCCAGTACAGGTTAGCTCTGAGTGTTAGCGATGCTTGCTAATAATAAAACACGTCGGGCATTGTTTCTGATAGCAACGTTTCTGATAGTGCCGTGGGTCCACATTTCCGATGTTACGTCATATCGGACCCAAATCTGGATCAGCTCCGTTGTACCTCCGTTTTTAGAGATTTGGGTACGGAGGAAAAGAGAGAGGGTTTTTTTTTCTGATACTTTGTGAGTTCCCTGACACACAGGGGACACAGTTATGTATACAAGACATCAAAAAGTGCATTTTGCATGATAGGTCCCCTTTAAGGTTTGAGGACTGAGTTGATTTAAAAATTGGCAAAGGACAATGAGGAATATGAGGCACTTAAGGTAGCCTTGGAGTTCATCTTAGCCCATAGCATTTAGGAAGCTACAAATACAAATTTTGAATTTTTTACGTTAGATATGCCATCTTTGCAAATGTGAATTGTCAATTATAACATGATCATACAGACAAAACTCTGTCTAATTCGGGTGATGCTTTTCAGAGTAGGGCTGTAACCGAAGTTTTTGATTGAATTTATTGAAATCTCCAATATCAACGTATAGGGATGGGTATAGCCTTTCTGTTTACAGTTCTGTCATCAGATTATTTAATACGATTTGTAAAAACATTGTTGTTTCTTTTGATGTGAAATATTATTTATTTTTTATATTTAATATCCGAATATTCGCTGCTGAATACTATCGAATATCCGGAGCCCGACATTTTTTATTCGGGACAGCCCTATTTCAGAGGAAAGAATTTTCCTATTCAAAATTGAACCACACATTTTTGGAAAACAAATGAGCTGTTTTGCCTGTGCAACAAACCAAAACAGACTTCTGTTACACCATTATTTCGACCTTCCCTCTGAGGGAAAATAGATGAGTAACTCACCATCTTATGTCTCATCTTCTTCAAAAAATACCTCATGTCCGTTCCTCATCAGTGAATCACATCCCTTCTCTCAAACTCCCTCATGTTGTTGATGTAATAAGCTCTACTTTTAAAAATGCCTTCTACCAATTTTCTTGTAATTTACGGACCTACAATCTTAGACTTTGCATTTATCTTTGTTAACTTGGAACTCACGCTTTACAACCTTGAAATAATGATGGCAATAATGTAATAATAACTGTTATAATAAAAAAGAGTGGGCTCCATGTTTATTGACAGTTTACAACAGTAATGTGTAAAAAATAATCAACCTTTTTCAATAAGCTTTCGCAAATGAAAGAAAATGAAATGATTAATTAAAGGCTCTTGCTGTGCTAATTCTCTTTGGTTATGCTCCCGATAATTATGGGATTAAAAAAATCAAAGCCACTTATAAAAGCCTTTGTTTCCCCTCATGCCAGAGCTGGTTATTAAAATAGACCAAAGAGAACATTTTCCTGGACATAAAGACTTTGTTTAGATACTGTACAGCTGAATGGCTGTGAAGCTATGGATCAGGGGATCAGGGGAGCAGGGATTTGCAGTTATCTGATACTGTGGTCACTGGTCACTGATCTATGAGTCAAAGCTCACAATGTTAATCAAAGACACAAGAAGCTCCTGAATGCATCACCTGGGCTCGTTACCTTGTGACTCTCCCTTGACACTTAAAGTGGACCTATCATGCTATATTTAAATGATATATTGTAGGGCCATACCTATATAAGGTATATTTATACGTTTCTGTTTTCAAAATACCAAACAGATCATGCATTTTAGCCATGCCTCATTTCGCTCTATGTGCTGTTTGCTGTCTACGGGGCTGATTCTGTGAGACCACGCCCCCCTGCAGGAGAGGGTAGCCGTGCTCTGATCAAGTCAAGAGGGGGAGAAAAAAAGATCTCCGTCCTCCGTGTTTTATCCTGACGTCAGGACAGTGTTCAAATCTGGATCAGTTTTTATCAGATCCGTTGCAGCCCCTTTTTTAGAGATTTGGGTATGGAGGAAAATAGAGAGGGTTGTGTTTTCTGACACTTGGTGAGTTCCCTGAAACACCGGGGACACATATTCATGTATAAAAGACGTACAAAAGTGCATTTTGCATGATAGGTCCCCTTTAAGCTTACCTTGCACATTAAGTATAATTGACTGGTAAACTATAGTAAAATAACTTAACCTTTGACAGGAATACAGTCGCTAGAGTTATCTTTCAACACAACACATTCAGTCTAGTGCAAAAGCCACTGCTTATGCAATGACTCGGCCATGGTTGCAGCAATTGGAAGATTGTTCAAGGGGAATGAAATGGCCTTGGTTCGGTTGGATTCTTTTTATTGCCAATCCACTACGCTTTACCTTTGGTTCATTTCATTATTAGTCTCTAAATAATTTCCTTTTTCCTTCAGAGCATAACACCATTTATGCTGATTTATTCCCAGCATTAATTCAATACATCCTGACTGCTCAGGGATTAAAAGGTCAGCCAGACCTCCTGTTATCCCTGAAAATACTGTACCGACAAAGATACCGGTGTCGAGGCTAATTCAGGTGCTAAAGGTCCGAGAACTGTTCAGGAAAGTGACATGGTCACATGGTCACATGATCACAAAGACACAGTTAGAGTAATTCATTCAGAAAGATAGGCACATGAAAATGAGTGGTTTACCATGTAGGCTTTAAAGGTCAGTTATCCAACAGCCAGTCATACTGACAGCAACACTGGTGGCTTCCCATTGATGATAATACTCCATTCACAATATGGAAACTGAGCCTCTGCCCTTTCATCTGTTGTAATAAGATCCTACCTGATCATTAATATTTCAGCTATAGCAAATATATCAAACAATAAAGCAATCAAAACCATCGTTGTAAGTCTTTCTATTTCTCTAACAATCACCAACTCTAAAAGAGAGACTGAATAAGTAACAACTATAAAAAAAAGAAGTAACCACTGTCAAATTCTGCTTTGAACTGTTAACTAACCCTTAATGCTGGCACATCCATGACACAACAGAAAAATTATAGATAGGCAGACTCGTCTACTGGCAAAGGGAAAGCAGTCTATTGGCTTTTTTTGCGAGTTGTTTAAAACAACCTCTAAATACGTACTAATTTAAGTGGGAAACGGGTATAAGTGACAGGTAAAACTTAGCGTCTGTAGCACAAACAGTACCAAGAAACCAAGAAGAGTGTTTCAGGGAATGCATGCACAACATTCACATTCAGCGTCTATGGATGCCTTTCACAAATTGCACATGCAGAGGCCTGTTCTGGCCAACCATTGTTTACTGTGTTACATTCAAGTCCCCAAAGTCAGCTGTGACGCAAGTCGTGAACCCCAGAATTCAAGTCTTTGTGCACCAATCTGACAGGAAATGTCTGTGAAAAAACAACTCCATCCTGGATGAATGAAAGCACTCTTTATGCTATGGCTGGCTGGTGTAAAATGTGCATCCATAAAACTATTTTTACTCACTGGGCCAGGTCTGAGCCCGCTTTGTCACAGTCAACAGGTTCTGATAACCTTTGAGCTGGCAGAGTGGCTCAATGGTGCAACATGACACCACCACCATAGCTAACATGACTGTGAAACGGTTATTCCTAGAGTAGAGAGCGTGGCAGTGAGGTCTGCTGTTAAAACTGACAGAGCCAAGACCAAGTGAGGAAGCATTGTGCATCATAACTATCCCGTAAACAAACTCTTATCAGGGGAAAATGTGCTATCTGGCATGTCTCTCTTCAAGGGAATTACTGGAATGCAGTCACTTGAGTTCAGCAATCTGTCCTCACTATCTAGGTCACAACATGAGAAATAACCCTGCAACAAAGTGGACACTGAAGGCACACTACATTTCTGTCCTGACAGGTATCAGTTGACCAGGTTAGTGTGCGTGTCGGGTATAACATAACAGATTTCAACCAGTAGTGAGGTCAAGGGGTCATCCATACCAACTGCTGGATGTGTGGAAGTTCATTAAATGAATATAATAAGTCAATATATGTAATGCTGGGTTCACTACTTATTTCTGCTGCAAACAAGTGGTCAAAATTCAGGTTATTACAGGTTTAAAATCCAAGAATATAATAGTCACGGGAGCACCAAATGTGGATTAATCCGCAGAGAAAAAAGCCCCGAACACATGCAATGCTTCCTGCTACTTTAGTACTGTTTGGTGAAAAACTGTGTGCTGATGTGAGTTATTTAGTCTTCTAATTTAGTCACAAGACATATGTTAAGTGTCTTGTGTGCTATATTAAGGGAAAGTAGAACTGGGGAACATAAGGATGACCCCATGACCACTGCCACTAACTATAGCCTCAAGAAAACACCTCATTAATATACTTTCAAAAAAAAAAAAACTTCATAACATTAAAAGCTTCATAACACTAAGATTTGTTGCAGGGCTATAGAGTTGGATTGCATATTTAAAGTGCATTTGTGTTTTTTGAACAGGCACACTGAAATCAGTTGAATTTTCAAAATTCCTGAACAGATTTAGCCTCGAAATGTCCACCACAAGTTAAAGAAAAAGGAGCTCTGATACCAGAACTAGCCAAACAATGACAGCCTTGTGATATTCATTAGGCAGACTAGTGTGCTCACCCCCGTCTAACTTGTTATAGCAAGATATTTGACTGGAGGGAAGATAAGTTAACATTCTTACTGCATATGTAATTACCGTTATCTGAGGCTGGGATTGTTTCACTCACAAAAAAACAAGCCGAGACTTGGCTCGCTATCAGGTTAAATGTTAGCATTCGTGTATCCAGCTAACGTTATCACGTTCCTTATACCAAGGTGTTAAGATAAGATAAGATAAGATAAGATGGTACTTTATTGATCCCAATTTGGGAAATTTCAGACATAATGGTAAACTACAAGCTCCCTTGTGTTACACAGTCGTTATTTTAACATACACTATGCGTCAGTAAGACATTTAAGGTGGCTTGCAAGCATCATATAAAGTGCTGCTAGCCAGCCAGCTAGCACGCAAGCTAACGTCGGCTGGCTGTCAGACAAGCGACATTTATCATGCAAACAAACTCACCTCATGTTTTCAACGTCTCTGCCCCCGCTTTTAAGGAAACACAGGGGAATTGCAAGCAGCGCCAACACCATCATCCAGGCGACGTAAAAGAACTTTTTGAAATAAAATACAAACGTGCTGCTGGTCAACATCAGGAGTGGAAACAGCAGCAGCAGCGGCGGTGCCATCCATAGCACATCCATAGCGATGAAAGTCCTGCTGCCAGCTAGAATACACACACGCGGTTTTTGGGATGAAGAAGCCGCTTAAAAACACTGGCCGGGGCTACGGTGCGAGCAGAGAGGAAAGCACCGCGACCCTGACAACCATTACACAGTCAAAAGTAGTCCTTTAAGGGCACCCTGGCAATGGCTGTGCTCTTCTCTGCCCAAAAGGAACATGTACCGCTGCTCAATGCTCATCTGTTGCTTAATGGCATCAGAGGTGGAGTCAAATCGTCATGGGTTGGGATTTTTTTTTTTACCATTTCCGGTTTGCTGGACCACTATTTCTGATGTCACAAGCTACCAGATGTGGAAGTACTCAGATATTTATGAAAGTAAAAGTAGTAATACCAGAGTGTAGAAAAGTGAAATTCTTGCACTAAAATCTGCAAAAATACATCTTCTAAAACTATAACCAATATGCCGATTGGCCAATTAGAGAATAATATTGCCTACATGGTTTATTTATAATTGTTGATGCATACAGTACACCACTTTAATTTTGCAGCTAGTAAATCTGTATGATGTGGAGCTAATTTGTAATTAATTAATTTATAGATGGGTTGCACAACATTTAATAATACTCCATCACTTATTAGAATAGCTCTTAAACTGTCATTTAAAGGCTGTGAAGGAAAAAGTACAATATGTTCCTCTGAGCTGTAGTCGAGTAGAAATATTAAGTAGCAGAAAAGGAAAATACAAAATATAAAAAGTACAGTACAGTAAATGCAATAACAAGTGAAAGCTACTTTCTGGAAAGCTGAATAAGACATTATAATTATTCTGTTTGGTGGGTACCCATATTGTATTACATTTTGGAAAGACTTTCATGATAAGATTTTGTGCAAAACAACACAGAGAATCAACAATTATTTATCACTTATTTGGAATGTGATGATAACAGCTTTAGCTATCATTATCCTATAATGGACAATTCATATTCATAAAGACACATTTAATTAAACTCTTTTTTTTTTAAAGAATGACATGTTTATTTCATAGCCTGTCTGGTATTCAATTAAATCAATATCTGTCAAAGCTTTAATTAGAACGTTGATATTTTATATAAATCTCATGTTGCCAAAACATAACAGGCCTAGGATTCTCTCTCTCCACACGGGTTATCTTCAGAATAAGATCAGTTGGACAGCGGGTTAAAGCACAACATGTGTAATTGGATTAGCAGTGATAATCCAATCCACGGCTCTAATCTGACTCTGACCAGTAGCCTCACTGTGAAGTCTCGGCCGTGTTTTAGAGCTCTACTTGACATGATTTGGAGGATTAGGATCCATCAGTCATTAATCCTGATTTAACATGTGCAGCTATACTAATCATTGGCAGACTCTAAACCTGGCATCGGACCAATCATTTAGAAGCAGCTATGATGCTCATTTTTACCTTGCTCTTTTTTCCATATGCCCCACTAAACATATAATATTGTACATATTTGTTACAATAGTTTTTATATTAGGCCACATATCTTTTTTATATTATTGTTGTAATTATTCCATTCTATTTTTATGTTGCAATGTATAGCCTGTATTATTTGTATTTCCTCTTATTATGTTCACTGTTTCCTTGTAAGGGAACACCTTCTTGGCATTAAACCCTGTTATAATTATGTAAGATAAAGAGGCAGAGGATATCTGTGTGGTGTAAAGTTTCCAGAATTGAAACCTGACAATATGTTGGGTATCAAAATAAAACAAGAATCTTAAACCTGGCTTGTCCAGATTTGTATTAAGATATTTTTATAAAGATATGTATTATTATATAATGCCTCCGTTGCACATATAAACATAGCAGAAAACTTGTAATACAAAGAAATATAGTTTCATGGTGGTCTATAGTTAAAAATGTACTGTGTTGTTGCAAGCATTTTTAAACTGACCTTTACATGTACTCTCAGGTACCACACGGACATATTTTACGTTTAAAAGGTGTTTTGTTTTTTTAAAGGTGGAGGTGTTACTAAAATGGCCAATACTGAGTTCACATTTCCATGCAACAACATAACCAGAGGCTATATCTTTTTTGAGCTTCAAGTTGTGCAGGCTGCAAGGGAGTCAGGGCAATAACAACTCTGCTGCACAAACTGTCCTTTACACAGCAAAGTGTCAACATTGAGTCATTACGAGTTTGAAGTGAAGCTGGTATGGCACGATTGTGTTAGGGTGAAGTTTATGTCAACAAACTGGGGTCATTGGTGTTTAAAAAGTCATGGATTAGTTGGCCTATTGCATTTACTATAAGAGAGGCTGGTAAAACAGTACAAAGAACTTGACTTGTTTTGTGAAAAGTCTCATATTTGTGTGTTTTCAAATTAAAATCATGTGCCCCTGATAACTCTTCATTCACAATCCTTAAATATCTTTCATATTCCTGATTGAAAATAAGATGTCGAACACACAGTATATGATGTTTTGCCTTTAGGGGTCTCTATAAAATCAATAAAAGACCAAGAAGCGTGGGATCATGGGAGTTCTTCCCTTAACCACCAATCAAGATTGTTCAGGAGGTTTGTACCTGGAGCCTGATGACAACTACTACAGTACAAATATATATGTGTAGTTGTTTTGACACAGTTTCAAGCTGAAATGCAAAAGGCTTTTTATACTTGTACGTATCCTATTCTGCTTCCCTATCTAGGAAACACTTATGCAGGTACACAACACACCCATTTGTTATGATAAGTCTCATGTACTGTTTACTCAGTAACAAGTGTCCTGTCAAGATCTAATGCAAAAAGGATGTTATACCAAACAATGCTGGAGATCTATTGAGTGTGTTTGTGTTGTGGTTTGATATGTGGGTGTGTATTTTCAATAACTATGATATGTGTGGATGTTGTAGCCTATATCTGTACTGATTAATGAGTTTGTCTTTCATCTATATTCTGTATATTTATTATGTAATATTAGCAGATTTCACAAAAGGCATGTGGTTTAAAGATAATGTAAAATGGTAAAGATGTAGCAGCAAATTGAGCTTGTCCGTATCAATTTAGACAACTACATCTGACAGTTTTATAAAAAGGCTAATCCAAACTGCCATTTTAATTTCCTCACTTTATCCCACCACAAATGCAAACAGCTGTCATGCTGTTTCACTTCTGCTTACTTAGAGCTAAACTAAAAGTGTGGTCAAGTTATTTAAGTAAGCTTTACAAGAAAAGTTTGAAGAAAGACATTACTGAACACTACATCGGTTGTGTTGTCAATGAAAGTCGTTATATCAGGATACAGAGCTATGATTGTTTCAATTTGCAGAACTACGTTTTCCCCCTGCTTTTCTCTGTTAACCAAATGTTTACACGCAGGGAGTATTAATAAACCACCTGAACTTAGACCAGGGGTGTCAAACTCAAGGCCCGGGGGCCAAATCCGGCCCGCCACATCATTGTATGTGGCCCACAAGAGCTTGCAAAGAATATAATACGTTTATTATAAGGTTACGTGCCGCTTTACAGGAGCACGTTGCCCATAAACTACATGTCCCACAATGCATCTCATTTTGTGAGATGCGCACTGAAGAGACTTGCCATTAATTGCAATTATTTGCCCTAGACTTCTGCTTTCAGACGTAGTTAATTATTAAGTTATTACCCTATCCGATAATAATCCAATGCAGAGGAAATATTGTTAAATAATACAATATTATATATATATTACATATATTTATCTATGTATATTTATATAGTCTTAAAGTTACCACCGGCCCTTTGAGTGCAACCACAATTCTAATGTGGCCCGTGATGAAATTGAGTTTGACACCCCTGACTGAGACGTTTGAAAGAGGAAACACTCTGTCTGCATCATGCCTGGCTCATGAAGAAAGCAGGTTGTGAAGGAGCCTCCATGGTAGAATGCTCATTGGGAAACAGGCAGGGTAAATGTGGAGTGGATCCACTGGAGGGGCAAGGATCCAGATTTAGTTGAAGCAACATGCTTGTCTCATCCCTTTTGATGTGCATGTGACAACATCAGCTTGTCAGTGGGTCTTATATCGTATTGTTTTCTTTATTTATGGATTTTGTTGAATGCATAATGAAAAAAGGGACCAAAAGAAACAGAGGTCAACTTCTAAATGTTATTTGTTGGGATTCAGAATCTGTGCGAGCCATGACTTGTTTTATCAGACCTGGGCACTCGGATAGATAAAGAGGCTCAGCTGTCAACTGATCACAATATGGTGATGTGTTTGATCAGACAACAATCAAAGAGTCATGATCTCAAGGGATAAACTGAAAGCAGGTAACATAATCTATTCACATTACTGTCCTTTTAAAGTAGAGCCATGCAGACCTCAGATTCAAGTGTCTGCAACTGCTACGAAGAAAGGAGTGAAGCTGGTTGGTTTAGGGGACAGGATGTGTAACGCATTTATTGCTAAAAATGTCAACACAAAAAACGTAATGTTAGTTGTCTCTGATTTTGTTTGCAGACTAGGTCCTGACACTGAAAGCACTTGTGCCCCCCCTACTGGTGAAAACGTTTTCTCTCACCTCAAATTACGTCATTTTATTGTTGCAGTGTCTTTTCTTTGAAGCACAATCATTGGTTCCAGATGCTAAAGAAACAAGTTGCCCTATTTAACTTAAAATGCAAAATAAAAATAAAATTGTCATTGTTGCTGTGCAGTTGGGGAAGTAAATATTTGTTGGAAAAGGAAGAAGTGTTGGATTTTCTGCGTTATTATGACACAAAACTAATTTTTTGTAATATTCAACTAAAAGTGGTTTAATCAATTTGGTGACTGTACTGAAATGCTGGGTATAAAGTCCTGTAAGAAATTCAGTACAAATGTTCCCTAATAATACTGGATGCTAGTTTTAACCACTTTCCTCTATTAATGCTCACAGATGAACTCAGCAGCAGACATTTTCACTATGATCACAGTAGGGAAATCACAGGTGTACGTATTGAAAGTGTCTCAGTAAATAATGCATCTATCCTGAATCCAGCACACCTGAA